CTTGCTCTTTCCAGAATATATTAGGTATTTGATTTGTTACTCTGCCTTTTCTGAAACCAGCCTATTCATCTGGTTTTTCTCTCCATGCGTAACTGTATTATTCTTTGTAAGATCTTCAGGAAAACTTTACTTCTCTGAGGAACTAGTAGAATGGTTTGTTAATTTCCCATTGTCTTGCATCTGTCTTCTTTGCCATGGATATATACACCAATCATTTCCTGTCTCTAGGCCAGAGAGTCTTTTTTCATATTTGTTGACATAATTAATATGTTATTTGCCTCTTCTCCCACAATTTTAAGCAGTTCGGTGGATATTCTATCTGTGCCAGTTGCTTTCCTATTTCACAGCAACTCTATCATTTCTCATATCTCACTTTCTATTGGGGTTGGTTCCTGAATACATTCTCCAAATATTTTGTCATTTTATAATCCCGTTTAAAAGATCTTTCACTACCTTCATTTCATGTTTTCTTCTATTAAATTTCATCCATGTTTATTCTTGAGTAATCTTATTGTTAATCTTCTTAAAAACATTTCTCATTTTCTTGTCTTGTTAGTTTTGATAGTTTACCCTATTTGTCTACATTTAATTTAAATCTCTTCCATTGTCTTTCCTTGCATGATATTGAGAGTCCTCTTGTTACTGATTTCCTCTTGTTGCCCAAGACTTTTCTCCTCCATCTTTCCTTAGGCGTCAAGATGGCATGTGCTGAAATCCACTTAGATCTTTTCTGCTTGGGAATATTGTTTTCCTCTTCAGTTTTCACAATATCTCTTATTTCTTCCCATAGCAACTCAAGCTCACTTTCACATAACATTAATCTATTGAATCTGTTCCTTATGTTGAACTTATACTGTAACTATTTTCCAGGACAAATTTGGTGACATATCTACTCTCTTTAATTACAAGTTTAACCTGTTTTCTCTGTTCCTCAATTTATCTATTTCCTCCTTTACTATACAGTTCATGTTCTAATCAGCTGCAATCTTAACACCTGATTTAGAAGGAGGTAGATGCTGCCTTGTAAAGGAGGGAAGCGCCCCATCCCACAGATTGCTGTCTTGGTCCTAGATTTTGACAGATGGCTAAATCCATGGATTTAGCTGTCTGTCAAAACCACTCAGCAGTTGTAACAATGTTGTGATTGGTGAGTGGTTTCCTACCAGATTATGATGTTGAGAAAGAGGGGGGACTGCAAAGCCAGGGGGTTGAACCTGTGGCTATGGTTTACCTGTCTTGCCCATCCTAAAATGGGATACTACTATCTGGCAGCCAAAGTAGAACAAAGGATATAGAGACAGGATAGGGATCAGCAGTAGGGAAAGCAAATGTTACACTTTTTTTTAGTTTTTTGCTAGTTCAAGGACAGATGGAGAACACTAACTGAGTTGCTGAGAAAAGCTCCTCGGTATGCCCTTTTTGAGTATATTTGATACTCCATTCTTTCTCATACTCTGAATAGTATAGTCATGATTTCATGTGGCCCATTCTTGTCCATCTAAGTTTATTATTCTTAAAACATTCAATTTAACATGTTTTATTTCTGCTGTAACTACTGCACATTTTCTTGGTTCATCATCTCATTTTCTTCCTGGGTAGAAGTGGATGAGAACTGCTAGCTTTTTCATCAGGCATTATTAATAGGTTCAATACTCATAAAAGCTCAGTTATTGATATATACTATAGAGCTGGAGCTATTACTGTCTTCAAATTATTAATTAAAGAGAATATCGGTGATTAAGGATTTTTTTTCTTCTTTTCTTATGTTACAGTATAAATACTGTGTGGTCAAACTCCAGAAGCTATTTGAGCTTTAAAGAGGAACAGTGTGTTCTAAAGAAATGACTAGGCATATGAAATCTGCCCAGTTCATGTCTGATTAATCAACATTGGAACATAACCAGATTTTCTGGAAATGGAACTGAGAAGATCACATCCAGTTGGTGAATCTCAGAATGGAGTCTCTCTTGCATTAAAACATATGCACTGCTGTGATTTCATTGGAACAGAATCAGGTCTTATGTTGTAAATGCTAGGTACAGCTGATATACCAACCAAAGCTAGTAATATGTGTTATAATTTATAGGAGGACTTGAGTCCACAGAGTTAGATCTAATAACATACCCAATCTGTAAGCCTGATCCTTCCATACAAATGCAGTCCCATCCAAAATAAGCCAAATACTAAATTCATTTCCAACTACTTCTCTATCAGTAGCACCTCTACTGAATCTAAGCTGTGCTTCAATCCACACAGTGAACATATGAGAGAAAGTTGTTAACAAAAGCCCGGTTGGGCTCAAGCATTTGCACACATGCCTTTCATGTGATGATCTGGATGATCTTCCTCATGTTGGGCAATTCTCTGTCATGTTTGTGTATGGTTGAAAGTTAGCTTCAGCAAACAGATACCTTCGTGCCCAAGGGAATTTTCTGTTTGATCATACCGCTTGAAAAATGTCAACACATCCAGGTCGAAGGCAACTTAGTTAGCAATGCATTTCTTTAATAAGTGATAGAGGCTGAATGAAATTTTGCTGATAGACAGATCTATGGTTGATAGAATGAATAATGATCAGTGATGTGTACGTGTGGGCTATTGCCCCAAAATGGAAGCAATAAAGCAGGAAAGATGGTCTCTCTCTTTTCACTCCTTTCTTTGTGAAACCATCTCTTAATAATTTCCTATTTTTAATTAAATGGTTAAGATGTAAATATATACCATCATGAAGGCAATTTGTTTATTTTTGCATCAGAATGGACACTTTTCATTATACTTTGGCCAAATTAGAGAGCCAGTTTGGTTTACTGGTTAAGGCACCAGGCTAGAAACCAGGAGAGTGTGAGTTCTAGTCCCACCTTAGGCATGAAAGCCCTCTCTCAACCCAACTCACCTCACAGGGTTGTTGCTGTGGGGAAAATAGGAGGAGGAAGGTATATAAGGTATGTTCACTGCCTTGAGTTATTTATAAAAATAATAAAGGCAGGATAAAAAATCTAAAAAAAAAATCTTTCTTCGAACACTTACAATAGAGCTCATTATTGTATAAAAGAAAGAAAGTATCTTCTATCGGTAAACAATGGGTCAGTGAGGAATGTGCAAGTTTTCAAGTTAGGCATAAGCTCTTAACATTTATAGGGGATTAAACCAGCTTTTATGCTGATCAGTTGAGCCCACAGCCAACTGGCAGTATCTAATTGTCACTTGACCTTAAAAAATAAGAACTGGTTAATGGGAGACCAACAGGTAATCTGAAGGGTATACATTACTATGGGAAGTAAAAAAAAAAAAAAATGTGGAAGAAGGCAGTCACAAATCACTTGCGTTTGTTGTTTAAAAAAAAGAAAACCTACGTGAGTGTCTCCATGAAGAGTAGGCGTCAAGCTTGACTAAAAGGAAAGTTTACCTAGATCTACTAAAGTCAATGGAACAACTTGAAAACAACATTTAGATCCAACCCTGTGTCAATGAACTGTTAGCAGCCCCCTGCTCCCCCGAGTAATCACATGATGAGCAAGCATAAAGGTGCTCCTTAGCCTCTGGTTTATGAATTGCTGCAGGAACAGGATACAAGTTACAAGACTATTCCACCAATAGAATAGAAACCCTTACTGGGTCCTAAATGGAAGGATGGTTTTTGTTATGACCAGGGTTCAGAAACAAAGAGTAAAATGATGAAAATATATTCAAAATATAAAAATGTGTGTTTGTGTGTATATATGTATGTGTATGCCTGATCCTGTTTTTTAAAATTTGATTTCATCTGTTAAAATCCTTTTCCATCTGTACCTGGAAGGTTAAGCAATGTGCAAAGTTTCTACCCCACCATTAAGCTACAGGTTCAAAATATGGCAACCTTACATAAATAAGGATTTTTCTGATCCTCATCTATCTGTGTATGTACCAAATTTATATGCCACCTTTCAAAGGAGGTTTCCTAAAATGGCATACAAGAATTATTATTAAAATGTTTAAAAATCTAAACTAAAAGCAATAGTATAAAACAAATTGCATAGGAAAAACAGTTCACATTTTTTACAAAATCTTAAAATAGTACATTAAACCAATCTGTTTCAGAGTAACATTAATCAGGAGTGGAAAACAGCAAAGATCTATTTTATTCAAAAACAACTTTCTAGCACAAAAAACAGACAATTTCACTAAAAGAATAAAAAAACAAACTTTGCTTGGCGATGATGATGATGATGATGATGATGATGATGATGATGATAGCACTTGATGTGCCTTTCTGGGACAGCAATTAAAAATAAAGAGACCACCAAGCTGGGATGGCATTTAGAACAGGGCCTGTGAAAATCATCGCCATAGAATGCAGGGAGGAAAAACTGTTAGTCTAACCAATAGCAATATTTTGAATTGTACATGGCAATGAACTAGAGCTCATAAAGATGCCACAGGACGGGCATAATGTGATCATAATGCTCAGTTCCAGTCAGTGATCTACTTGCCACATTTTATACTAACCATTTTGAAAGATTTTCCTCTTCACATTGCTACCCCTTGGTATTAATTCAGTGATTTACTTGGAGAGAGAGAGACAGAGGAAGAGGGAAATATAGGCTGCTTAGAAAATGAACTTTACTTAGGAACTGCAAACCTACATCAAGAGTTTGGGGTGTATGTATGTGTGTACCATTCACTAATGAGAAAAAGGCACACTTCATATGCTCAGAGGCGCATTTTTTATTTTTTGGCATAGTCTAAAGCTTATCTCTGACAGCAAAATTAATCCTGGGATAGAGACATGATGCACATTAAACCATAACTGTACTCATGAGATTCATCTCAATGACTTCTTGGCTCTTGGTATGTGTGGGGAACTGAAAGTTGTTTCCAATGTCCGAAATGTAGAAAATATCTGCAGTACTGGCAAATAGCCAAGTGAAGTTATTAGACTCCTCCCTCCAGTTTCAGCCAGCCCCCTCTAGGTATTTTGCTTCCCAACCTTTGCCCGTGGCATTGACCTATGAGATGTCCCATCAGGACAAGCTGTGGTCTAAGTGAAAATCCAAGCTTTCAGCACTACAGCCAAGTGAATAATCTGCTTCTACCTAATTGGAATCTATGGCTTCCTACTCTCTCCTCTCTGGGGAGAAATACCTAGGAAAAAGATTCAAAGAGGTTACAATGATCCTTTTATTCCAGACCTTTCTTTGGGGTGAGTAATCCTTTTCTTGTTTATCCTACAACAAGCTAATAAGTATTTGTTTCCTCCAACTTCAGCTCCTTCCACCACTGTGGATGTGCCAGAGCAAGTTCCTTCTCTCTATATCTATCAATCTCTCTCTCTCTCTCTCTGTAGTACTTAATTATTAGAAATCACACTAAGTCAGCTGTTAGTATAAAGTGATTGTTGACTATTGGTAACTCCTGACTCTTTTCTGGTGGACCTCTTGATGCTTCCTAGTCAATGATTGTAACTTACTGATGACTTACTGGTCTCACTAGCTAATTTCTAATGGACCATTTAATGCCTGCTAGCTTCTTTTATTGTGTTTTTATCAAGAGAATTTATCAGAATATAAGCTTTCAAGCCAAAACCGGAGTGGGTAAAAGATGGATGATGATCTACTTGGTGGCATATCTGGTATCTGATGATTGCCAAAGTTCTTACAAAGAAATGTTTACTAAATAAAGACTAGTCTGATCCAGTAGCTCTTCTCAATGTTCTTTAAAAAGAGTGCATGCTTAGAAGTGCTTTACCTTGTGCCTTAACTGTACCTTACAATGATGATGATGATGATACTAATAGTGATAGCATTACTCTCACAATACTAAATAAGCCCATTCTCAGATTAGACTATTAAATCTCAGCCCTGGAATAAATGAATTCCAAAATGAAAACTGCTTTGAGCATGAATAAAGTGTTACTAATCTTTAGGTGATATAGATCTTTTTTAGAAACCAGATAAAATTTTCATTAAGCCCTGCCGCTAAAAAGTAAGTACTAGAGCATGTTAATTTTATCTCATTGTTCTGGTGAGGAATACAGTCAAGAAGCACATGGAAAGGCCTCTACAATTATTCAGTGAGTAAAAGGTGGATCAGAAAGATCAGCATGGAAAGATATGTCATGGATCCTGGGTTGTTTTTCTTTTTCTTTTCTCCTCCACATAGCATTTTTTGTAGAGTAGCACTTTATCAGAAATGTGAGGGAATTACTTAAGCTAGCAGTATTCTCTGTCTTGGACAATAATCTGTTTTGGACTATGCTCTTTCTAATGATTCAACAGACAACAGTTCTGGTGTTTAGATGGGTCTTTATTAGCTTAGGGAAGATCATGGTGACATGCAAATAATTAGCATATTGAATCTGTATTCTCTTCATATTGTTTAAATTTCAGACCAGGAAGAGAGAAGGAGAAAGAAAGGCATACTTGGAGATATATTTCAGCAGTCAGGCAAATGACAAACAAATAGTTGGTGGGCTTGCTGCAGGGAAGTACTTCTTCCCCACTTAAACCACTGAGGAACTGAAATTAAATTGAAAGGAGTCATAAACATACAATGAGAAAACAACTGAGGTTGTAAAAATCCAGATGAAATTTGATGGCAGGAAAGAGATACAGACTTTGCTGCACTGTAATGGTTGACTGGAATTTTGGAACGCAGGTCTGAACACACTTGTAATGGGGGCAATGAATGGATCCAGTTTGCCCACTTCCCCCAAAATTAATTTTAAGCTTTCACTGTATTTATATGTGTGCTTGTGTGTGTGTAAAAAAAAAATTCCCCTCTCACCCCTATGGGTGGTATGTGTCTTCCTCAATCTTGGGTCCTCTACCAGAGGCCTGGGAGTTTGAGGGTTCTGTGCAGTATCTTAGCTGTTCCTAGCACTGCACTCTTCTGGACAGAGAGCTCTGATGTTGTTCCTGGGATCTGTTGGACAGATATATATATATAACACATAGGTTGGGTTCAGACCCTGCTCCAAGCCAGGTTTTGGGAAATAGGACTTTCCAAATACTGTCCTTCGTGGTATGTGTCTTCCTCAATCTTGGGTCCTCTACCAGAGGCCTGGGAGTTTGAGGGTTCTGTGCAGTATCTTAGCTGTTCCTAGCACTGCACTCTTCTGGACAGAGAGCTCTGATGTTGTTCCTGGGATCTGTTGGACAGATATATATATATAACACATAGGTTGGGTTCAGACCCTGCTCCAAGCCAGGTTTTGGGAAATAGGACTTTCCAAATACTGTCCTTCACTATTGGCCATGAAGTCTAAGGTTTCTGAGGGCTGTTCCTCATCTTAACGTGCTTTCCTCTAGTTCCTCAGGCAACAGGAAAATATGCCAGCAAACTTTCTACTTCATTGATTGCTGACCCCTATTGTCCCTCTGCAATGAGGCCAGTGACTGATTTCATGCAGGACAGTCTAAAGAAAGTGATTGATAGATTCCCCTGGTGTCACCTGCCAGTTTGAAAAACAACAACCATTCATTGCTATCTTCAAGGGTGGAGGCAGTTTGTACAGATGGCTACATCTGGCTAGCAGCATCTTTGTTTAAAAGTAACCCTTTCCACTTCTCCTGTAAACCATGTGAGGAGGGGCGTGTTTTAATCTCCTTCCCACCAATGCCTTTTTGTGGAAGACTGAAAGATTCATACTGAAAAATAGCACCCTTCGCTACTCTTGCCAAAATGGGTGACAAGCAGAGGTGGGTGAGTAGTGATTTACAAACTAGCTCTATGGAAATTAGATGTCTGATCTCTTCATCAGGCCAAGCTAAAATGGCTATGGAGGATATTGTAGAGTGACCAGAGGGGAGGAGGTCCCTGCAGACCCTAAAGTGGCTAACAGAAACTGGGTAGATCCTAGTCCCTGACCACTTCATCACCAGCATCATCAAGGAGGCTTCATAGTTTGTTCCTAACAGCAAGATGCTTCAGATGAAGAGGAAAAATGCTATTTTAACATCAGTGACTATATACAACTTAAGGCTGCTTCCAAGATTAGTTGGGGATGAGACTAAGGCAGCACCATGAGGATACTCCTAGTCTTTTTTAATAATACTGATGTTCTTATTATAGAATGTTTTTTATAGTTCTTTTTTTTTTTGTACGCTGCCCAGAGTCATATTTGTGAGATGGGTGGCTATATAATATGAGGAATAAATAAAATAAATAAATACCAGAATTTTGCAGCCCAAATATGGTAATCTTAAATTCAGTAATATTTGGATGGCCACTGGTTCCCACAACAGAATTAGATGGTTTGTTTTTGCATTAGCATGTTGAATAAAATTTGTGGATTATTCAAAAAATCATGGTTTTGTATGATGTATGTCAGAGTCCAATGATACCTAAAGCAAATATTTGGCATGTGTTGTCACAAAGCCTAAATTTATTTCATAGGTCACAGTAGGTTTCAGGCCACAAGGAGCGTGTGTATTAAAGGTATTGGGATTTAGTCATCAATTTGTATATGCAAATACAATTGGTATTGCAAGCAACTGTAGGTTGTAAAGATGGAGCTTCCAATTATTTGAGTAGATGCTGCTCTTTGAGAAGACTGAATGGTTATGATCATTTCCAGGCCACACCCCTGCCTGTTCCAGGAGCCTGTGAAACTTCAAGAGCTGTGGGGAGGTTTCCTTGGACCACCCAGACCCAGACATCAGACAAGGAACATTTCCTGCTTCCTAAAAAAATAATTAAAAATGGAAGATAAAGAAAACATAGACTTTGATCACTGACGACAAGGCTGCCAAATTAACCCAGGCACACAAACAAAATACCTCCAGGCCAAACTACACAAAGGTTGAACCTGCATGTTTTTATTTTATTTTTTTCAAATAATTTCTAAATAGTGGTTACCAGGAATGGAGCTAAAAGTGGGATCGTGGCCAAGAGGACAGTTTTTAACTCCAGATTAGCCCTAGCAAAACGCACTCTCCCAAAGCTGCTATTCGGGTCAATAGCTTCCATACCTAACACAAATAGTGGTTTGCAGGGAATGTATTTGGTAAGAATAGGAAAAGTATTGAAAGTTTAAAGAAAAATAAATCCTTTTCTTTACAACTCATGCCCCTGTCTCTCTTTCCAGACTCTTTCTCTCTCTCTCTCTCTGTCTATCTATCTATCTCTCAATCTCTATCTACCTATTATCAGCCCAAATCAATGCACTGCAGGATGAAGTCCTTTTCATTGAAAGTTATGGACTGTAATCTACCACACTAGCCCAGGTTATTAAGAGTACATAGAAGCAAAGGAGTGTATCATACCGTCATCCTCCTTCATTGGTTTTAGAAAAGCTGAGCTAGCAAATTTTTTCTCATGTGTAATTGTCAAAGATATAGGACCACAGTTCTTCTTGGCATATGAGATTACATTCTTTTGTCCTCAGACCATTTCTTACTTTATCTTCAATGGTTCTGGCTTTGCTCCTTCTTTTCTTTGTCTCAAAGTAAGCTTAGTGTACTCTACCTCTCAATAGTTAAGTTTCCAGTTTCTACTTGACATAATTTTTCTTTCCTTTCTCCTTTTCTACCAACAGATTCACTATTTCAGCAGAATGTATGCCAGTTTTCCAACCTGGTGCCTTCTAAAGGGTTCTAGACAGAAAAACTTCCTGAAGGGAAGTTAGAAAGATTTTTTAACTTTAACACGAGGATGGCTGTCATAATTAAAAAGAAATATATGAATAGGAAGAACAATGTTTCTCTCATAAACCACTACCATGCTAATTTAATTACATTGGTGCTATGATCACTCATTGGCTGGACTCAGAACAGGAAGCCTTCATGGGGTGGAGAGGGGAGGTAACAAAATATCAGGTGAGAGTAATTGGCAATTGAAGGTATCAACAAAAAATTCTGAACTATGCAATCACGAATATCTTATAAGAATTTTTTTTTCCTCCAGTACCATTTCTAAAACAGAGCAAAAAAGCAAACTTGATAACTCTTCTTGGACTACCCTAATTTTTTTGCCCCTTCTGTTGTTTCTCATTTAAATATTTCTTATATTTATACCCTTCCTTTTGTTCAATCATTTAAGTTAGTGTGTGTCATACTCTTCACTCACCTACTATGTTATCATCAGGATAATCTAGTATTTTTAGTTCCCAAATCATTCAGTTAATTCAGCTTAAGGTGAATTGAAACTGGGATTCTCCAGGACTTCCAGGGAAGATGGCAGACTGAAGATGTCTCCACAAAA